TCTTACGCGTAGGGGTTTTTGACGTACTAGTACGCATAAATTCTAGCGGCCTCAAATCTCGCGCGAAAAGGCTGGTAGGCCTAGGTGTGAGAGAATGGGTCTGCGTGGTCGGTGTGCGCGGTAGAAAAAAAATCTGGGACCCAGTGGTGCATTGTGGGAATGCCCTCTTAGTAAACAATGTCCACCATGCCTCGCGGTAAGAAGGTCCTCACTCCTCGGCGAATTGGGACACTTTTGTTCCCAGTGACAGTTCTAATAGTGATGGAAGTGCCAGTGAAGATGAGTTTCGTGGTTTTAGTGAGGTTTTGACCGAAACTAATGACCATAATATCGGTAATAGTGAGGAAAACCCAGACGGACCCTCAGCCTTCCACCTCTGGTGCTGGGCCCTCTTGTTCACGTTCAGTTGTTCCAGAACCCAAGAGGAAACTTCTATTTTCCCAAATCCCAGACTCAGATGAGAGCATGGGTGATGATAGTGATAGTGAATATGAACTACAAGCTCTTCAAACTAGTTCCAGTAGTGATAGTGAAGTGCAATATTCCCCAGTGAAGCGTCAGTATATACGACGATATATGCGCTCTGGTAGTGTGCCATATGTTATACCAAGGGGAAGGAGTGTATCTCGGAGTACATCCCGTGGCTGTACAACAGGAACAGACAGTGAAAAATGACGAAGATACTGTTGCAATTGGGATGGAAAATGTGCGTGGTGGTAGTGGTGCCGGCGGTGAGGCACCAGCAGTGGGCCATGCTGCCACCCACGCCGTTGCCTCAGCTGATCTAGAACAAAGGCCACCATCCCCCACTCACCCACCACACCAGCCTCCACAACCACAACCTCCACAACCACAACCTCCACAACCACAACCTCCACAACCACAACCTCCACAACCACAACCACCTGTCATTGTCCAGTACCCACCAGCAGACCACCGCACCTGGGATTGGCAGGAAGCTGTCAATTTTGTTCCAAATCCCCACCAGTTTGATGACAGCCAAAGTGGAATACGGCCATCTTGTGCACTTGGGAACAATGCCACTGAACTGGAATGTTTCGAGTTATTCTTTGACGAACCACTGATGAAAAGTATTGTCATGGAAAGCAACACATACTACGAGTACACCATGGCAAACACATTACTTTCACCAAAATCACGTCTACACCAGTGGAAGGAGGCAACTGTGGCTGAGATGTATCTTTTCTTTGCCACAATAATGCTTATGCCACATGTGTATAAGCACAAAGTGAAATCATACTGGTCAACAGACCCCCTGATTGCAACACCAGGTTTCAGTGATATAATGCCAGTGAATCGATTTGTGCTAATGTTACGTATGCTTCACTTCTCAGATAAAACCAGGCCTGACAGAACTGACAGGTTATATAAGAATTAGGAATGTGTTGTGTATCTGAAACAGAAATTCAGTACGCATTTTTATCCCTTCAGGAAGCTTGTAATTGACGAGTCTTTGATTCTGTTCAAAGGAAGACTCTCTTTCAAGCAGTACATACCAAGCAAGAGGAAACGCTTTGGTATAAAGTTGTTTGTGCTTTGTATTGTTACAGTGGTCTGGTATTGGATATTATTGTGTACACTGGAAGTTATACATTGCAAAATACCAGGAAGTTATTGGGCATCTCAGGTGATGTGGTTCGAACAATGAAAGAACCATACCTTGGTAAGGGGCATATTTATATACAGATAACTGGTACACAAGCCCCTCACTCAGTGATTTTTTGCGAGTGAACATGACAGATGTGTGTGGCACAGTGGTGCAAATCGGAAAACATATGCCCAGGTTTGACGCTGGCACTCGTAGAGGTGAGGTGCAGGCGTTGGCTGCCAATGACATCATGGCATTTCGGTGGCATGACAAACGAGATGTCACACTGTTGTCATCAATTCACCCTAATGAAATGGCAGACAGTGGCAGGCAGCATAGAGAGAGAAATGAACTCATTCTAAAACCTGCAGCTGTGATTGATTACACCTTCAACATGCGTTCAGTGGACAAATGTGACATGCAGATTGGGTTTGCTGATTGTGTTTGCAAGAGTTATAAGTGGTACATCAAACTGTTTTTCCATCTTCTGGACATTTCCATGCTCAATGCTTATAATATGTATAAGATGAGCACCAGAAACAAACCACAGTACGGCGAATTCTGTTTGTCTGTTATCAGACAAATAGTATTCAAGTACCAAGGAACAGCACCTGCAATTGACCGCCCACCAAATTATCAACAACTACCTGCTCGTCTGAAGCATGGTGATCACTTCCTGGTAAAACTGCCTGCTACTGCTTTGAAGAAAAAGGCTCAGAAGAGGTGTTACGTCTGTGCACATACAAAAAAACGCACACAACAATGCAGAGACACTCGTTACGTCTGTGCACATACAAAAAAACGCACACAACAACGCAGAGACACTCGTTTTATGTGTGAGGAGTGTAAAACTCCACTGTGCATGACACCATGTTTCAAAGAGTTCCACAGGCTTCAGAACTTCTACAAACATTCCCTGTGACTGTATATGTGTATATAAAATATAGAAAAATAGTAATAAACAACATTTCATATCGTTTGTTTGTGTAAATATTTTCTGTAAACAAAATAATGACAACAGTGTTTACGCCCTTATTGTGTAGTATTGAAAAAGAAATAACTTACAAAATACTGATCATGTTGGCCTCAGAGGCCATAAAAGTTACTCAGAAAAAGAAAAATTGAAAAATAATTGAAAATAGTACATAAAAAAGTAAATAGAAAAATACCGGGTGACAGCAGTCGGCGATGTTACCATATGTTGTTCAATTTTGGCAAATTTCACGCCTCCATATCTCGGTAAGTATTGACGTTAAAATTTTTTTGTTTAGCCTATAATGTTTAGAAAAAAAAAACTCTATTTTTTCATAAAAAATATTTTTTTTTTTTTTTTGAAATTTGGCCGACCCTGAGAACGAGTTTCGGAGAGGGCATGTCGACCCTCAAAGGGTTAATACTTGACGTGCTGTTGGAGTGTGAGCAAAGTAACATTTATGAAGGGGTTCACGGAAACCGGCAGGCCGGACTTGAGTCCTGGAGATGGGAAGTACAGTGCCTGCACTCTGAAGGAGGGGTGTTAATGTTGCAGTTTAAAAACTGTAGTGTAATGCACCCTTCTGGCAAGACAGTGATGGAGTGAATGATGGTGAAAGTTTTTCTTTTTCGGGCCAACGTGCCTTGGTGGGAATCGGCCAGTGTGATAATAATAAAAAAAAAAATAAATAATTAACCTAGGATAACTCAGTATAGTCAAACAATGTGACTTATTTCCACATTTTGAAGAGTGTTACACTTGAAACAACTATAATATTATAAGTATTCCTAGTATACATAGTGTGCATTTCCTCAAGTTTGAAGTGCTCAAACATCTTTAAACACATCCAGTATAAGGACCTGGTATTATTAAACATTAAAAGCAATTAAAAAACTGAGAAACAATCATTTGATATTAGTACACTGTAAAATGTAAATATCACTGGTGCATTTATGCTACTGCTGCCAACAAATGATAATTTTTCTGTCAAATTCAACATATCATAAGGTTTTATCCAATTCCACTCATTTTATTCTTATGCAATTCATAAAAATGCACTCTTTCATTGTACAAAAAACAATTTATTTTTTTCAAAATCTTTCTACACACATGTAAGAATTTTTTTCCCCATTATGCCACAGTTTAGGGGTCAAAGATTCCATTCTATTGCACAAAAAATTGCAAAAACACACTGACAACACAAGAAATGCCTGTGTAACCTCAGCCAAATGACCAACCTTACTGAAACTATTTCACAAATGCTGTTTCACAAAGGAGTGTACTGCGCAGCATGATCCATGCCATTGGAACACCCTACCTGAGAACTCTAGAACTGCAGACACATTCATCACCTTCAAAACTACCATTAGAAAACATCTTATCTCCCTGATACACCCCATCAACTAACTACACGAATACCACCTGGTGGTTCACACTTACACTCACTCATCCATTTGACCATAAACAGAAATATTAATCTCAATCTTAAAATAATGAATCCTGTGATACTCCAATACTGAAACTATGTACTGTGCCAAAACAAAAGCATTCACATTGCTAAACTCACAAACTAGTATTTAGTCACTTAGCCATAATACCAACTTACCTCATAATTTGTAATATTTTAAAATTAAGAATTAAACTAAGTCTGCCCGAAATGCCTAGCCATGCTAGGTGTTCTAGTGGTACACTCTGTAATCATTATTTTGCTACATGTAAACCACACAATAACCAAATTCTGTAAACTCAGCATTGTAATCCTTATAGAGAATAAACTTTGAATTTGAATTTGAATTTCACCCAGGAAGCACACAAAAATTTGAGTTCAGGAACTTTTTGATAGCACTTCTTGCCTTGGGTTATTGGGAACTGGAAATTAGATACATAGGCCACAATTGAATCTAAGGTAGAGAAATGGAAAAGTGTTTAGGTATTTAGTTGGATCTCCTCACATTGCTGCTTCTGTTACATTTTATCCTCTTAAGACAGGTTCCTTGATGCTGGTGAGGGGCTCATGAGTTGAAGGAATTGAACCTGTGCTCCAATTTAAGGCACTATATGACCCCTACAGGTTTAGTGCTCCCCCCATGAATGTAATACACTGGTGAATTGATATACAATATCCTCATATTTTCCAAACTGCAAATAACAGGATTTTGCAACTGGTAAATTTGTGACTATCAAGGTTTTGCTGTAAAGTGTTATTGTAGTTCTATATTAAAAATTGCTCAGAGATATTTTATTGCAATTATTACCAGTACATTACAGAAATAATTTAAATATTGGGAGTAATCATAAGATATATAACAGATTTGTAAGTGACTGTGTTCTCTCAGTGGTGGTGTTGACAGGAATTTTTCATGCAGATCATTTGGGATATTATGAATGCTGTGTATTATGTAGTATTACTTTGAATAGGTTTCAAGACTACGTAGTGCCATGGAAGTGAAGGATGGCCTTATTGATGAAGCTGCAAGTAAAACTTCAACTCAAGAGCGTGATATTAAGAGACTCAACAAAGAAGTTGACCAACTTAGAGGAAGTGATAATAGGTATGAAATTTATTCACATTATAGTTTATCTGGGAAATTTTATTCTGTACAGGTTATTGCATTTTATATGATAGAGCAATATACAGGAATTTCCAACTTGTGAGTTGTATTCCCGTTTTTTTTTTTTTTAATTTAGTAAACAGTAATACCAAGAATGGTTCTGTTTCACACATTGTTGTACTACAGTTTTGTGGTTGTAAAACATTATTTGGTTTCTAAGTTCTCTGTTTGTAAGTATGACTGTGTAACTTAAGGTAGTTCATAAGTTGGTGACCTCTTGTATTATAGTGATCGCTCTTGTATTTTTGTTTTTTTAATATACAGTATCTTGACATTTAAGAGCATTTCTGAAACTTCTGGCATTTTTTAATAGAGTACGTGAATTAGAGAAGGAGAAGAGAGAGTTTGAACAGCTGATGATGACAGAACGCAAAACCCTCAATTGCTTAAGGGAAGATTTAGTTGCAGAAAAGGTAAGATAAACAGCATGCACAGAGCATAACAATAATGTAAAGGGTTTGAAGCATCTTGATTAATTTTTTGAGAAACCACATTATTTTCTGTAAATAACCATATACAATATTACCTGCATAATATTAAGTTTATTTCATAACATTTGAGACCTATGTGTAATGTGGTAAAATTCTGTGAGGATTTATTACATTATGTTTAGTCTTACTGTAGTTTTTTCCTTAAAGGTACGAACACAGCAACTCGCCAATCAACTTGACAGTCTAACCTCAGACCTAGCCAAGCTTGGTCTTAATGCTGATAATCTTACTGCTCCAGTTTCTGACAGTGACAATGAGTAAGCTATTATTGTACACTTCTTTTGTCATACTTTCATGATTACCCTACCAGTTATCCCAGTATATTTGGTATTTTTTATACTAAGTAAAGTTTGTGTTACCAGTACATATTTTTAAAATTCAGTATAAAAAATATACAATTTTTATATTTACGAAGATCAAAATGAGGAGGCAAGAACCCTTCTTTATTGATAGTAATACAATGAGTTGCTAGTTTATATAGATTTTTTTATTTTTTGTTTAAGCCACCTAACTAATAAGTGCTGTCTAACAATAGCAATAAACAATTTAACCCTTTTGGGGTCGGTCCCATTGTGCTATGGCTTTGAAGCCAGTGTCAGTCCCGTAGTTCTACCCCCATGAGCTGAGCTCACTCAGATAAGCTGTGAATGGTAAATTTTGGTCTAGAGATGAGAGAATGGGTCTGTGTGGTAAGTGTGCACCATATAAGAAAAATCCTGTAGCAAGCATTGCATGATGGAAAAAACTGCGTGTTTTTGGTTTAAAACAGCGAATTTGTGGTGTATTTTTGTTTGGTTTTCACGGTTATATTCTTGGTTTCTTGGTCTCACTTGATAGAATAGAAGATAGTGAAGATTTTAATTGGTTTCAGGACTGAAAGTAGCTTGAAATTGAGCTCAAACTAGCGGAAATGTTTGATTTTTACTTATATCTAGAGTACACAAATGATGTCACTCGTCCAATATGCATCCAACTGGCCAGTCTAAACAAACACAATTTATTTCTTTGCAAAGGTTACAATGTGTGTTATTACATTTTATAATGTGTTGTTTGGTACATGCTGGGGCAGTTCAGGCAGACTGTCTAATATGCATTTAGGAATGCACTGACATTATTTACACAATTATTACAATAATGCAGTCGTCTGCATAACAGTAAATCTATTATATTTTGTGTGAACAAAAAATCAAAATGAAAAGCAAGTGTAATATACGAGAGGCCTGGGGACATAACTAATAAACAGAGGAAATGGTTTTTTAGTGCTAGGACTGTCTATATTATATATTCTGAACCCTATTTTTAAACTGTCAATTTTTTAATTTTGTGAAATTGGCCTGATCACTTTATTGGGTAGTTAAAATAGGTAAATGGGCAGTTTTTTGTACTCAGTCTATAGAATAGAAGGAATACTAGTAAAGTAGCTATGAGTTTGGTTGACTTGAACAATGGAATTGGCCGAAAATAGGGCCTGAATCCGGCGAAATCGCCGATGCGTAAATATCTCTGAAACCACTAAATTTGCGAAAGCGTAATTCTGTGAAAGGAACAGAAAGGACAGACATTTGCATTGCTGATATTTGTTTTTCCAGGATTTATAGATGTACAATACTTGATTGTTTTAGCAAATAAATATCAGACTACTGAACAGGTCAAAGAAATTTAGGAAATACAGTTACTATAGGCTGCGACTTCATTAATATATAGTATTCTGTTGTAGTCCTTGAAATTACAAAGTTATAAATACACTTATCAGTACTTGTCATAGAAAAAAGTTATGAACAATATATTTTTACACAGACCTTCAGTTTCATTTAATATCCTTTTCGTAAAATACTTCACATACTGCATTTCCATAAGTTGTTTTAAGCATTCATTTAATTATAACATTGAATATTGAAACTTAAATAAAAATGGTTAAAATAACTTACTTATCAAATACTTTGGCCATGAAGAAGACTGTCATTCAAGATAACATATAATTCTTTTTCTTTGCTCAGCCGTTACAAAGCTTTAGAATCAATGCTTGAGGAAACACTGAAGCGGAGTGTGGAGGTTCGTGAGGAGAAGATTGTATCTCTAGAATCTCGTCTTGCCGAGTCTGTGAGCAGAAATAAAGACCTTCGTAACCATCTACTAGAGGTCAGTTGGTGAAGTATGTTGTGTGTTTGTATGCTGTTATAGTTATACATGTATTTCATGTTTTTGTTCTATTTCATGTTTAGTGCTAAACAAACCTGAAGACTTTGGTTGTTTAAGGATAAAACTTATTTATATAAAGCTTAAATAAATTCAGTAATTAACCCTTTCAGGGTCCACAGGCCCTCTCAGAGACTTGTTCTCAGGGTCCCCCAAATTTCCAAAAAAAAAAAAAAATTATTTTTTCTTATGAAAAGATAGAGAATATTTTCCCAATCATAATGACACCAAAAGTATGAAATTTGATGGAAAACTTATGGAATTATGCTCTCACGAAGTTAGCAGTCTCAACGATGTTTACACATCGGTGATTTTGCCCACTTTGAGCCCTATTTTTGGCCAATTCCAATGTACTAATCGACAAAAATCATAACTATTTTGCTAGAACTCCATTTTTCCTATTGAATGAGTACAAGAAACCACCAATTTACCGATTTTAACTATCCAATACAGTGGTCAAAATTTAGCAATTTTGCCAATTTCACACAAATTTCAAAAGATGCCAATTTCCAAATAGGGTCCATAATAAACAAGAAAGACATTCCTGGCACTAAAATAACATTTCCTCTGTTCATTAGTCACGTCCCCAGGCCCCTCTTACATTTTTTTTTGCTTTCCACTTTGAATTTTTCTCACAAAAAAAAAAAAATAAGATTTACTATTATGCAAACTACTGCATTAGTGTAGAAATGGTATAAATAATGTCGGCGCACTTGTGAAAGAATATTAGACTCACCAGTTGACGTGTATTGGACGCTTAGCACGATTTGTTTACTTCTGAACTTTGGTAAAAATTGAACATTTCTGCTACTTTGAGCTCAATTTCAAGGTACTTTTCATTGTAAAACCAGTCAAAATCATCTCAATTTCTGTAATATGTCTTCCATTCTATACATTGAGACCAGGAAAACTAGAATACAACAATAAATACCATATGAAAATAGTATAGTGCAAAGTCTCTGTTTTAATCCAAAAACATGGTCAGTTTTTTTTTCTCATTACACACTGTGTGCTGCTGGATTTTTTTTATACTGCGCACACTGACCACATAGACCCATTCTTTCATATGTAGGCCTACCAGCTTTCTCTCACTAGATTTGAAGGCGCTAGAATTTATGCGTACTAGTACGTGAGAGTGGGTGAGATGTTATCAACAAATTTTGTTGAAAATAAGAAAAAGTTTTGGAGTGAGATTAACAAGTTAAGGAAGCTTAGAGAACAAATGGATTTGTCAGTTAAAAATAGGAGAGGAGAGTTATTAAATGGAGAGTTAGAGGTATTGGGAAGATGGAGGGAATATTTTGAGGAATTGTTAAATGTTGATGAAGATAGGGAAGCTGTGATTTCGTGTATAGGGCAAGGAGGAATAACATCTTGTAGGAGTGAGGAAGAGCCAGTTGTGAGTGTGGGGGAAGTTCGTGAGGCAGTAGGTAAAATGAAAGGGGGTAAGGCAGCTGGGATGATGGGATAAAGATAGAAATGTTAAAAGCAGGTGGGGATATAGTTTTGGAGTGGTTGGTGCAATTATTTAATAAATGTATGGAAGAGGGTAAGGTACCTAGGGATTGGCAGAGAGCATGCATAGTTCCTTTGTATAAAGGCAAAGGGGACAAAAGAGAGTGCAAAAATTATAGGGGGATAAGTCTGTTGAGTATACCTGGTAAAGTGTATGTCGAGTTATTATTGAAAGAAAATTTAAAAGTAAGATGGAGAATAGGATAGCAGATGAACAAGGAGGCTTTAGGAAAGGTAGGGGGTGTGTGGACCAGGTGTTTACAGTGAAACATATAAGTGAACAGTATTTAGATAAGGCTAAAGAGGCTTTTGTGGCATTTATGGATTTGGAAAAGGCGTATGACAGGGTGGATAGGGGGGCACTGTGGCAGATGTTGCAAGTGTATGGTGTAGGAGGTAGGTTACTGAAAACAGTGAAGAGTTTTTACAAGGATAGTGAGGCTCAAGTTAGAGGATGTAGGAAAGAGGGAGATTATTTCCCAGTAAAAGTAGGCCTTAGACAAGGATGTGTGATGTCACCGTGGTTGTTTAATATATTTATAGATGGGGTTGTAAGAGAAGTAAATGCGAGGGTCTTGGCAAGAGGCGTGGAGTTAAAAGATAAAGAATCACACATAAAGTGGGAGTTGTCACAATTGCTCTTTGCTGATGACACTGCGCTCTTGGGAGATTGTGAAAAGTTGCAGAGGTTGGTGGATGAATTTGGTAGGGTATGCAAAAGAAGAAAATTAAAAGTGAATACAGGAAAGAGTAAGGTTATGAGGATAACAAAAAGATTAGGTGATGAAAGATTGGATAACAGATTGGAGGGAGAGAGTATGGAGGAGGTGAATGTATTCAGATATTTGTGAGTGGACGTGTCAGCGGATGGGTCTATGAAAGAAGAGGTGAAATCATAGAAATTGATGAAAGGGGGAAAAAGGGTGAGCGTGCACTTAGGAGTCTGTGGAGACAAAGAACTTTGTCCTTGGAGGCAAAGAGGGGAATGTATGAGAGTATAGTTTTACCAATGCTCTTATATGGGTGTGAAGCATGGGTGATGAATGTTGCAGCAAGGAGAAGGCTGGAGGCAGTGGAGATGTCATGTCTGAGGGCAATGTGTGGTGTGAATATAATGCAGAGAATTCGTAGTTTGGAAGTTAGGAGGAGGTGCAGGATTACCAAAACTATTGTCCAGAGGGCTGAGGAAGGGTTGTTGAGGTGATTCGGACATGTAGAGAGAATGGAGCGAAACAGAATGACTTCAAGAGTGTATCAGTCTGTAGTGGAAGGAAGGCGGGGTAGGGGTCGGCCTAGGAAAGGTTGGAGGGAGGGGATAAAGGAGGTTTTTGTGTGCGAGGGGCTTGGACTTCCAGCAGGCATGCGTGAGCGTGTTTGATAGGAGTGAATGGAGACAAATGGTTTTTAACCCTTTCAGGGTCCGTCCCGTAGATCTACGGCTTTGCGTTCAGTGTCCAAACCGTAGATCTACGTCATGAGCTCAGCTCACTCTGATAAACTGTGAGTGGTACACTTGGGCCTAGATATGAGAGAATACATCTATGTGGTATGTGTGCACCACATAAAACAAATCCTGCAGCACACTGTGTATAATGAAAGAAAAAAACTGAAACCAAGATTTTCGATTAAAACAGCAACTTTGCAGTGTTTTTTCGTATGTTTTTTATAGTTGTATTTGCAATTTCTTGGTCTCATTTGATAGAATGGAAGACATATTACAGAAATAGAGATGATTTTGATTGGTTTTAGCACTGGAAATGGCTTGAAACTGAGCTCAAAGTAGAGGAAATGTTAAATTTTTGTCGATGTTCAAGAGTAAACAAACGACCTCACACGTCTAATACACGCCAGCTGGTGGATCTAATACCCCATTCACAAATGTGGTGATGATATTTATACAATTATTACAATATTGCATAACAGTAAATCTTCTATTTTTTGGTGTGAATAAAAATTCATTATGTAAATAAAAAATAAAAATGGGATTTATTTGTAAAGCCTCAAAAACGTAACTAATGAACCGAGGAAATGTTAGTTTAGTGCCAGGAATGCCTACATTGTTTATTCTGGATGCTATTTTGAAATTGGAATATTTTGAACTTTGTGTTAAATTGGCCAAATTACCAATTTCCGATCACTTTATTTTGTAGTTGAAACAGTTAACTTGGCGATTTCTTGTGCTCAATCGATAGAATAGAAGTAATACTAGTAAAATAGCTAAGAATTTGGTCGACTGGAATGATGTAATTGGCCTAAAATGGAAGTCAAATTCGGCAAAATCGCCGATTCATAAATATCGCTGACACATCAAAATTCGCGAGAGCATAATTTCGTCAATTTTCCATCAAATTTCGTACTGTTTGTTTTATTACCTTCGCAAAAAGATTCTCTACCATTTCATAAGAAAAAATAACAAATTTTTTTTTGGAAAATTCTTGGACACTGGGGCACCACTTCAGATTTGGGCCTTGGACCCTGAAAGGGTTAATACTTGATGTGCTGTTGGAGTGTGAGCAAAGTAACATTTATGAAGGGATTCAGGGAAACTGGCAGGCCGGACTTGAGTCCTGGAGATGGGAAGTACAGTGCCTGCACTCTGAAGGAGGGGTGTTAATGTTGCAGTTTAAAAACTGTAGTGTAAAGCACCCTTCTGGCAAGACAGTGATGGAGTGAATGATGGTGAAAGTTTTTCTTTTTTGGGCCACCCTGCCTTGGTGGGAATCGGCCAGTGTGTTAATAAAAATAGTACGTCATGGACACTGGTGCTTAAGCCGTACTAGTACGTCCGAAACCCTGAAAGGGTTGAAGTAAAACTTGGCATCCATAAAAACTTTTGATTGAGGAAGTATATAATTAATACTAGTACACTTGGATGTGATGACCATACTGTATATATAAAATTAAGTTATTTGGAGAGAGCAAGGATACAAGATAGAATTTTAAAAGGGCTTGTTGAAATAGAATATATAAGTACAAGTTCTCCATGGGAAAGTGGACCAGAATTCTTCCTCTGTAAGCCATGCGTGTCGTAAGAGGCGACTAAAATGCTGGGAGCAAGGTTCTAGTAACCCATTCTCCTGTATATATATTACTAAATTTGAAAGGAGAAACTTTTGTTTTTCCTTTTGGGCCACCCCACCTCGGTGGGATACGGCTGATACGTTGAAAGAAAGAAGAAGTACAAGTATAAAAAGAAAATGCATTCCAAGAAATTGACTGCAAAGGGGTATACATCTAGAGTGGATAGAAGGAGGAGGTAGAGGACATCCCTGGAAGGATTGATAGGATTGGGTAGAAGAGGTTATGAGTGGTGAAGTTTGAGCATCTTGCATCTACCATTCAAGGTTGAAGAGGTTTTGAGTAGTGAAGTTTGAGCATCTTGCATCTACCATTCAAGGTAGAAGAGAGATCAGAGCTAGAAAATGTATAGAAATCTTTTACTACCTTCATAGAGTCAGTAAGATATTTAAAGTACTCATCTCTACTCTCTGAAGTAGAGGCGAGAGAGATGGATGACAATATTTACATTGAAGTTACTTGAGGGATCATTCCCAAACCTACATGCCACCATAACTTACTTGAATGAGAGATATGGGAGGGAGCATAAAATATACCCTGTGATTATAGATATTATCAATATTGCCAAGACAAGTGGGGAAGCTTTAAAGAAAAAAAAAAAAACTAGACCATTACCTCCTCAGAGTACCAGATCAACTGGACTGTGATGACTATGTTAGCCAGTGGACTGCCAACAGCAAAAGACTGGTTGAACAGCATTGAAGAGGGAAACCTGGCCTCAGGCCAGTCTGTGAGGATAGAAAATCTCTTGAAACCAGTCACAATATATGCTGGTGGACTGCATTTTCCTAAAAGTGCAAAAAATCCTTTAGGATGAATGAACTAGAGGACACAATAAAGGCTAGAACTATTAATGCATTTAAAAGTAGATTTTGTCGGCTAATAGAAAGTCAAGAGGAGAGTCAAAAAGCTGGAGTTTTTTAACACTGACCATCTTCCCCCCCAACCCCTTCTAAAAAACTGGTAAGGTGGCCCAAGAAAGAAAGCACATTCAACGTTACTTACCTGATAGCTGTCTTGCCAGAAATGCACAGACATCACAATTCAAATGACCCTCTGAACTGCAGTATCTCCACCTCTCCTTCAGAGTGCAGGTACGATACTTCCCACCTCCAAGGCTAAAGTCCAGCTAACCATTTTCTCTAAATTCCTTCATAAATGTTACCCTGCTCACACTCCAAGAGCACATCGACCCATGGACACCTCTGTTTAACCTGTTCACAACTACATTTTTTCCCTTGACTTTCATAGGCACATCTGCTGACTTGTCTATTCTTAAATATCTGAATGCATTCACTTTCTTCATACTCCCTCCCTCCAATCTAATATCAATTCTTTCATCACCTTGCACTTTCTATGTTTGCTTTTAATTTTCTTCTGCCTACCCTCCAAAATTCCTTCACCAACCTTCACACCTCTTTAGAAATCACAATAGAAATGTATTATTGGCATAGAGCATTTGTAATAACTCCCAATTTATATCAGATTCATTATCTTTTAATCCTGACCCCCCCCTCTCCCTAAATCCCTTGCATTAACTTTATCCTACCTGTCTTAACTTGAACCTCACTATCCACATAAAAACTCTACTGCTTTTAGCAACCCGTTACCTATTCCATACATTTGCAGCATCTGCACCATTGCTCTCCTATCCACTTTATCATATGCCTTTTCAAAATCCATAAATATAACAAACAGTTCATTACCTTTATGTAAGTATTATTCACTTATATGTTTCAATGTAAACACCTGATCTATACATCCTCTACCCTTCCTAAATCCTCTTTGTTACTCTGCAGTCCTTGTTTCTGTTCTGTCCCTAACTTTTTCAATAGTAGTTCTACCATGTACTTTACCCAGTATATTTATTTCTTTATAATTCCTACACTCTCTTGTCCCAGTTTTATTTTGTGATAATTGTGGTTCAGTAATTTTAATGATTGAGAATGTATAATAATGACTGCAATTTATTATTTTTTTTTTTTTTTTTAACCGGCTGTATCCCACCAAGGCAGGGTGGCCCAAAAAGAAAAACGAAAGTTTCTCTTTTTAAATTTAGTAATTTATACAAGAGAAGGGGTTACTGGCCCCTTGCCCCCGGCATTTTGGTCGCCTCTTACAACACGCATGGCTTGCGGAGGAAGAATTCTGTTCCACTTCCCCATGGAGATAAGAGGAAATAAACAAGAACAAGAACTAGAAAGAAAATAGCAGAAAACCCAGAGGGTTGTGTATATATATGGTCGTACATGTATGTGTAGTGTGACCTAAGTGTAAGTAGAAGTAGCAAGACGTACCTGAAATCTTGCATGTATTATTATTATGGTTATAGGTGATAATTATCTTCATATGTAACTAAAGCAAATGGCCTTCTTTCTGTGCTTTGTGAGATGCATTAGTTCAATATGAATGAATAAATATTTCTCTGAATACATTTCTTTTGGTCATTTTTGTAATAAAGATATTTCATATTTGATACAATCTCTATTGGGTTAACTTAACCAGCTTCTCAAAGTAGGGGATGAAAGCCAGCAATGAAATTTTTCTTCATTTAACTGAGGATGGTTATGTGAATCTAGGTTGCAGTATTCATGTTCAATAGTGATTTTGGAAAGTGGTGTGAGAGATGTTGCAAAGTGACTGGTGGATCATTCAGTAATTGTTTTATATGAATCTGCCTTACCTGGCTTTGATAGAAAGCCCATAATTTTCTTGCCAAAGTCTCTCTAATACAGGCTTATGCTATGTACATGTGAACACTCATTCTGTTACAGTACTGCCTAAGTGACCATTGCTTTGGTATCTCTTATACAATTTAAGAACAGTTGCATAAGTTATATTGTGAAAGTTAAAATTCTGTACAGTACAGTACAGGACAATACAGTATTACTTGTGCATATTATTAATGATTTCAGTGTTTTATATTATTGTTCAAATGCTAAGATCTTAACATTTAACTTAACAGGTAAAAAGTGAACTTGAATCACTTAGACAACGACATCAAGAAGAAGATGCCAGCCTAAGTGAAGACGTATCAAAGGAAGTTGCAAAACTTCGAGATGCTGTGTACCGCAGCAATGAGGAGGTTAACACAACAGTTTTTAATTGTTTTAATTTAATGGATTTGCCGTTTCATCTTTTATAAATTAGGAAGTATTTTAATACTGTACATTCATTAATTTTATGGTTTATATTGTGGAGGAATTGTAAAATTTCCAAGCTTTCATTGCTTTACTTACTTCATAATGATGCTTAATGAATTAGCTGAAGTTTATAAGCTGCAATGAATAATATTTAATAATCTAGCTTCTGAAGAGAAAGTTTTAAATACCACAAATGCAGATATATTCTTCTATCAATTAAATGACCTTTATTCAACTATATTTAACTCGTATTCATATTTTTCACTATTTCTTTCCAAAAATACAAACCAATAAACTTTAGGTAGCTTTTAGGTTAGTTTATAAATCTGAATATAAATCAAACTGTATTACAGAAGGGAAGTCTTGAAAGTGAAATTAGTGAGCTCAAGTGCCAAACTGCCAGCTACCGAGACCAGGTGTGTGCACTACAGTCTCAAGTGACATCCTTGTCCAACCAGAACACAGTCATGTCTCAGCATAATGCAAAGTTGCAAGGAGAGAATGCTCGTCTACAAGTGGAAAATACTACATTACAGTCACAATCAGCATCACTCATAGCTCAGAACTCGGCTTTACAATCTTCAGCCACCCAAAGTGATGCAGAAAGAGAAAAGGTCAGTATGTTGCAAATTCAGAAACAGATTATGAATGTGAATTTTTTTTAAATTGAAGAAAATTCAGCTGTAGCTTATTTGATAACTCAAAAGCTAGGCATCACTGGGAGGCTCCTTGTACACCCTGATGTAGGCAGTGTTTCTTTAATTATTTTTCTTGTAGGATTATAAAGTATATATAATTGTGCTGTGTAAAAATAATTTGTAAATTGAATTTACTATCTTGAACCCTAGTGATACAGGGTGATGGAGTTGTGCATAGCACCAAAATATATACAGTATTATATTACATTATGTATAAAATATTCATTGTTTTTTCACAGGTATTGAACTGTTTACACTATACACGTAGGTTACCTGTTGTACATTCTGGGGGTCATTTCCCCTCATACCCTGTTAACAGATTTGGTTTCCTGGTTGATGGTCCAATCAGTCTGACTTTTTGTGTTAACAGCACACACCCCAGTGTAGACACTATAGCCGGGTTAATTTAGAACTGACCAGGAAACTTACAAAGTTCCCACTTGAGGACAGCTAGAGGTTTATTGATGATTCTCCTTTACGCTTATTGTGTGCTTGTTGCACCTTTGCTTTTCGTGTGGGTTCTTTGCATTATCTCCATGTTTCAGTGAGATAGTTTCTAAATCGAAGTAAAATGCAAAGCAGTCTTTCACCATATGGCATCTGCCTGGAGGGTATAGATGTGTTTGTTTGTTTACATACATTTCAGTTGTTTTATTTACTGTCTTTTACTAGTGATTCATTATTGGAAGTAGAAATTCACTATGTGATCACCCATGCTCAGTATCACTTGATTTTCTAACAGTTAGCCCTCAATTTAATGAACTTTGGAAATACGGGACTAAATCTGCTGGTCATTTGAATCGGAAATAACAAGCAAAATCTGTTACAGAATTGTCTATTATTGATTTTATCACAGCAAAACAATCTTATCTCTATTCCACCACAATCGGTACTACTGGTCACCTACTCTCTTTTTAGCCCATTAAATTGAGGGTTACTGTATCTTTCAGTAACACTCTAAACTAATTAATACTGGCATTCATAAGAATGACTTAAAAGAAAAAAAAACTGATATTAAAGTGGGAAATCTAATGAGTCTGTTCTAAACAAAATTTATGATTTTTCAATTAAAGTGCCTTGTGCCAAGTCCAAAGAAAATAGACCTTCAGACAGGCTAAGTTGAGTTGCTCCAACACAGGACTAGGGGGTGGAGGGAGGGAGGAGAGCACTCGAGAGATGTGTATTCATAGGGTGATAGCGTATTCTTCAGTCTAGACAAAGACAGGCTTTTTGGTTGGTGATGAAAGGAAGAGGGATGGTAATGGGAGGAGAATTATGATGGTTTTTTTATGGATTTTTATAATTTTTTTTTATGATTTTTTATTTGCTCATTTGGTGCATGTGTAGTAAGCTCATATATTTTTGGTAAACATTAGTCAAAAAATGTGGAATTTACAGTCTCAGAATGAATCCCTAAGTTATGATGAGTTTGCTGTACACTCCATGGGTCAGGAATGTCTCTATTACATAAAATGGAGGATACTGTACTGTATATAGTTTGAAATTTATCCTTTTTTTATTTTACATTGTACATTCTATATTATACATTAGGTACAATATATAGAAATTTTGTAAGTCACTTATTCACCTGTCACTCATCACCCTGTATTATTGCCATGTATCCAACTCTTGTATGGACAACTAGATTATGTCTTCAAATATATTATTACCATTGTATGTCTGCTCACTATACAACCATGGCTGTAATACACTTTTATTATTAATATTAAGCTTGTATTACCTAGTTTTCCTCTGTTTTGTTGACTTTAAAGCATTCTTCCATCAAGAGGACAAATTACTATGCTTCATGAGAACCAAAGATCCTGGAAGCTAAGGTACATTATTTTAAATAGATAAACTTTCTTGAGCAAAAATACAAATTATGGACAATGTTTTGTTAGTTTCCATTTTTCTAACAATTTCTAACATTTATCTTAGACTATTTAGTATTTTAAGCATGCCTAGGACTCCATTCAGTACAGTACTTGAAAGTTGTGAAGACTGGTATTTTTAATGTTTGGGAACAAGTATTTGGTGATAACTTTGCCATAAAACAAAGTAATGTGGCATACTGTTATATAATTTGATGATACAAATAAGGTTATGTTTTTCCTTGTACTCTTTTGCTGTTTCAGCTGCTCTCAGGTTTCAAAACTTGCATTATTAATATTGTAGGTGCGTCGTTCTTGTGAAGAGCGTGGCAGTAGGCTGTCTCGGCTGGTTTCTGATCATGAGGCTCTACAGCGTCTCCACCAGCAGTTGACAAGAGAATATGACAGTCTTGTACTAGAGCATAATAATCTCAAAACAACCCATAAAAACTTAAAGCATGAGCAGAAGGAATTAAAGGTTAGTTTGCATAAAATTAACTTTTTTCATGAAAGTTTACATTGTAAATTGTTTCTGGCAGTTTTAAGAGGCAAAACAGGCATTCCCTGCTTAACAACCAAGATGTGTTAATAAAATCCAGTCTTTATTTAAAATTAAATGCAATGCATAAGAACACATTTTCTTACATTTCTATTTTTAAATTTTTCTTTCAACACACCGGCCGTATCCCACCGAGGTGGGGTGGCCCAAAAGGAAAAACGAAAGTTTCTCCTTTTACATTTAGTAATATATACAGGAGAAGGGGTTACTAGCTCCTTGCTCCCGGCATTTTAGTCGCCTCTTACAACATGCATGGCTTACGGAGGAAGAATTCTGTTCCATTTCCCCATGGAGGAAAGAGGAAATAAACAAGAACAAGAACTAGAAAGAAAATAGAAGAAAACCCAGAGAGGTGTGTGTATATATATGCTTGTACATGTATGTGTAGCATGACCTAAGTGTAAATAGAAGTAGCAAGACATACCTGAAATCTTGCATGTTTATGATACAGAAAAAAGACACCAGCAATCCTCCCATCACGTAAAACAATTACAGGTTTCCGTTTTACACTCACTTGGCAGGACGGTAGTACAGTGGAACCTCAAATATCGAACTTTCTTTGGTCCAGAAGGCTGTTTGAGTGCCTTTTCCGAATGAATTTATTCCCATGAGGAATAATGTAAATTAGGTTAGTCCATTTCAGACCCTCAAAAATACACTTATAAAAGCACTTACAAAAATACACTTACATAATTGGTTGTGTTGGGAGTAGTTCGATTTTTAAGGTTCCACTGTACCTCCCTGGGCAGTTGCTGTCTACCAACCTATTACCTAATTATTTTTAAATGGCCTTTCAAAAACTCGGATATACTTTTCAATTAGCACTAATACAGAAGCGCAACAAATTATTTTTTTTTTATTATCACACTGGCCGATTCCCACCAAGGCAGGGTGGCCCGAAAAAGAAAAACTTTCACCATCATTCACTCCATCACTGTCTTGCCAGAAGGGTACTTTACACTACAGTTTTTAAACTGCAACATTAACACCCCTCCTTCAGAGTGCAGGCACTGTACTTCCCATCTCCAGGACTCAAGTCCGGCCTGCCGGTTTCCCTGAACCCCTTCATAAATATTACTTTACTCACACTCCAACAGCACGTCAAGTATTAAAAACCATTTGTCTCCATTCACTTCTATCAAACACGCTCACACATGCCTGCTGGAAGTCCAAGCCCCTCGCACACAAAACCTCCTTTACCCCCTCCCTCCAACCTTTCCTAGGCCGACCCCTACCCCGCCTTCCTTCCAGTACAGATGATACACTCTTGAAGTCACACTGTTTTGCTCCATTCTCTTTACATGTCCGAACCACCTCAACAACCCTTCCTCAGCCCTCTGGGCAACAGTTTTGGTAATCCCGCACCTCCTCCTATCTTTCAAACTACGAATTCTTCTGCATTATATTCACACCACACATGCCCTCGACATGACATCTCCACTGCCATCCAGACTTCTCCTCGCTGCAACATTCATAACCCATGCTTCACACCCATATAAAAGCGGGGTAAAGACTATACTCTCATACATTCCCCTTTGACTCCACAGACTCTAAGTGCAACCACTCACCACTACCCTTTTTTCCCTCATTCATTCAATGAATTCACCTCTCTTTCATTGACCCATCCACTGACACGCCACTCCCAAATATTCTGAATACATTCACCTCCTCCATACTCTCTCCCCAATCTTCATCCACCTAATCCTTTTTGTTATTCGTCATAACTTAACTCTTTCCTGTATTCACTTTAATTTTCTTCTTTTGCATACCCTACCAAATTCATCCACCAACCTCTGCATCTCTTCAGAATACCAAAGCACAGTGTCCCCCCATCAGCAAAGAGCTAACTGTGACAACTCCCACTTTGTGGTGTGATTCTTTATCTTTTAACTCCAGCCTCTTGCCAAACCTTGCATTTCCTCTCTTACAACCCCTTCTATATATATATTAAACAACCACGTGACCATCACACATCCTGTGTCTAAGCCTACTTTACTGGGAAATAATCTCCCTCTTTCCTAACATACACTAACTTAGCTCACTATCCTCGTAAAAACTCTTCACTGCCTTTCAGTAACCTACTTCCTACACTATACACATGCAACATCGCCACATTGCCCGCCCTATCCACCCTGTCATATAACGCCTTTTCAATCCATAAATGCCACAAAAACCTCTTTAGCCTTATGTAAATACTGTTCACTTATATATATCACTTAAACCACCTGGTCCACACCCCCCTTACCTTTCCTAAAGCTCCTTGTTCACATCTGCTGTCCATTCTCCTTAGCGTTCTACACTTAATTCTTTCAATAATAACTCTGCCATACACTATACCAGGTATACTCAGCAGACTTACCACCTAAAAATAAATTTTTGCACACTTCTTTTGTCCCCTTGCCTTATTCAAAGGAACTATCATGCTCCTGGCCCAATCCCTAGGTACCTTACCATCATCCATACTTTATTAAATAATAGCACCAACCACTCCAAAACTATATCCCCACCCGCTTTAAAAAACATTTTCTATCCTTTATCCCATCAATCCCAGCTGCGCCCCCCCCCGCCCCTTACCCCTTTCATTTTACCTACATGCCTCACTACTTCCCCCACACTCACAACTGGCTCTTCCTCACTCCTACAAGATGTTATATCCTCTTTGCCCTTACATGCAAATCACAGCTTCCCTATCTTTCATCAACATTTAACAATTCCTCAAAAAATATCCCTCCAACTTCCCAATACCTCTAACTCTCCATTTAATAACTCCCTCTCCTATTTTAAACTGACAAATCCATTTGTTCTCTAGGCTTTCTTAAACTTGTTTAAACCTCACTTCAAAACTTTTTTCTTATTTTTTCACAAAATTTGTTGGATAACATCTCAGCAGTACCTACAGCCACCAGAGGGTACTCAGTTGGTATTTTGAAGCATTTGCACATGAGATATGAAAAAAAAGTGAAAAAAAATGCCTAAAAGATGACAACATCATAATAATACTATTATATTGTATTCTTATTATTAATATTATTATGATTATTATAGTATAAGTATGTAATGTAGTATTATAATTATTTATTATTATAGTATTATTTTAGGGAACTGTAGTAATAGATCCAATTCCCATAATCAAGAGCCCTTTACACATACATATAATAATAATAACAGTAAAGAAACTCAACAGCTGCCAGAGTTTGGCAACCAATTCCCCATCCCCCAGCCCTAAAATATGGTAACCACTACTAGTACAGTTTTCACCCTGTCGTAGACTAAGTAGTCTATTAAGATTAGGTAGTTTGCCCAAAATACCTTGGCATGATGTGGCCTTTCCTTCTCCAATCATATTATGATAGCTAAACACACATTATAACCTTTGCAAAGAAATAAATATTTTATTTATTTATTTAAGGAACCCCCCTTGAGGGGGGAAGTTCACATCCTGAAATTTCGTTCATATCCAGAAGCAAAAAATCGACCGAACGATGGTTCGTATCCTGAAAAATTTGCTTGGTGAGGTGTTCATAAGCCGAGGTTCCACTGTATATGTCTAGTATTAAGTATAGTCTGTAATGTTTTAGGTTTAGTCTGCCCGAAATGCCTCGGCATGATAGTGGCTTTCTTTGCACTTGCAAACCAACATTGTAATTAAACCAAACAAAACGTTACTTGTCAATCCTAACCAGCCTGATAAGAAGGGCAAAAAAATTGTATTATGAGAACAGATTATCCAACTTACGAGGTGATATAAAAAAGACCTGGAAAACCCTATCAGAAATTCTAGGAACAAAAAAGATATCACGAAATAGCGAAATAAAATTAGCAAAATCAGATGAACCCCAACTCCCACCAACAGAAACAGCAAACAGACTCAATGATTTCTTCTCCACTATAGGACACAAACTTGCCAATACAATCCAAGCTCAGATCCCCACCAATGACTACCTCACCGGCAACTACCCCGAACACACTGTTCCTACACCGACCTAACCCATACGAAGTCTCCCTTATTATCAACACACTAAAAAACAAGGCAGTAGATTTAAATACCTTACCACCCTTTATATACCAAAAAGTGTCACCAAGTGCTATCACCAATCATTGTAACACTTCTTTAACAAATCCATGAATCCTCCACCATCCCTACAGTACTCAAAATAGCAAGGGTCACCCCGATCCACTAAAGGAGGAGACCAAACAGAGTTTTGAATAACTATAGCCAATACCAACTTACACCCTCCTCTCAAAAATCTTCGAAAATTAATTCATAAACAATCTACTCCTAAACTTATCTCCCAAAACATACCATTTCCCCTGCCAATTTGGATTCAGGCCTAATAAAATACAAATGATGCTATTATGCACATGCAAGAACATATATACCACTGCAATAGAGAAAAAGAAGTCCACTGGGGATCTTCATTGACTTTACGAAAAGCTTTTGATTTACAGTTGACCATGACTTGCTCCACGTAAAATTGTCACACTATGGTATAAGAGGCACTCCTCACTACCTCAGTCAACAGAACCAATATGTGTATGCAAATGGGGCACAAACTCCCTCTGCACACCAATTACAGTTTGTGCCCACAAAGAATGGGTCCATGGCCCTCTTCTCTTTCTCCCTATACATAACTGACCTAACAAAATGCTTTCGCAGCTTACTCAAACCCACACTATTTGCAGATGACACTACTACTCTTCTCCCACCCGAGCCCATCACCTAGCCAATACGTAAATACCGAATTACAGAAAATATCTACCTGATAAACTAAAAACTTACACTAAACAGACAAAACCTACTTCATTCTTTTTGGAACAAGCTACAATGTCCCTCTTAACATAATATAAACGATCACCTACACAAAGAAAGGGGGAAAATCTTGGGAATCCCCTTTGATAAAACTCAAATTTCATACAAT